AGCATCATAGTTAGCAAAGTATGGACATTGTCAGATGAGAACTGCAAAGTCCTGGATGCAAAGGACTAAGGTCTATAAGGGTAGGAGAGGGTAGATTTATATAGAAAAAGAGATGCTTTAGAGAGAGACAGACACAGAGAGGGAAAGACAAATGACAGTTTCCCCCAAAGCAGGTGCTGTGAACACGTTCATTTGAGTAGTAAAGTTCTTTCTGAAGAGTAGACCCTCAAGGGTTCTTTCTCAGATGGGAAACCCTGACAAAAGGGAGACCCTTGGAATACTCTGGTGCAGTTTAACTCTCAGGTGTCCACATTAGCTAACCCAATGAAGAAAGTTGTTCTTTACTGAGCTAAAGCCAGATATAGTCTTTATTTTCACTGGTACTGGTGCTTTAGTATTCAGTGATTCATTCATTCATTCATTTATTCACTCATTCATTTATTCATTCAACAAATGTTTAGTGCACACCTGATATGTGCTTTAACACATTCTGAGGGTTGAGAGAACCTACTGTGAGCAAAATGAACTTGAACCCCAATTTTAGATGGTCCTGTCGACTGGCAGACAAAAACATTAACCAAATCATGACCCCAGTATGAAACTAACAATTTAAAAAGCTGGTTAGTGCAATAAAGAAAAGGCATAATGAGCCCTGAGCACATTTGACAGAGAAAGCTGATCTAATGCAAAAGCAAGCAAAGAGGGCAGGAATGATCTGGCAGGAGAAAGAGCATAAGATCATGAGAATGGAAGGAGCCATGGAACTTTCCAAGAACCAAAAGGAAGACTTAAAAAGTTGAATGAACTGAAGATGGAGAATCCTTTAACACTTGGTGAGCAATTCCTTAGCTGGGCATTTGGGTCCTTTGAATAAGAGAACCCAGAGGGCTCAATGCTCTGCTGTGGGCCAGAGAAGGCTCTTATCCCTTTCCTCTCCAGCTGGGTTTGTGCCTTCAGGGGCAATGCCTGGCAAGACCCCTGATTCCAACCAAACTTTGAGTGGTTTCCAAAGTCCTATATGATCTGTTGCTATGTAGAAAAATTCACAGAAAGTTCAGGCTGACGGGATAGAAAAAGTACCTGGACTATTTGCAGGAATGGTCTATCTTACAGTCTTGTAGCAAATGTGGTTTCTTTTTATTAAATGTATTATTCTTCCAGCCTTAGTTCCAGGGATAAAAGAAAGGTAAGCAAGTTGAGCAGTTGACACTGGAATCTCAGCTGGGGTCCTAACCTTTTTTTTAAGGTATCACCGAATTTAGTGGAATAGCAATGCTCTTTGTTAAGTCTTCAAATTATATTAAAAATCTGCTATCTTCAGTGTAAGCAACTGAGGTCAGAGACGTGAGGTTGCCACAAGCTGTGCTGTAACTTTGAGCCAAGGCTGAAGGCTCTCTCCCTCACAGGAGCACTTAGGTCCTTTCCCTTCCCCTCTCCCCTCCATGCTCCAGGCAGGTAAACCATTAGTTTCCACACTCCCAAGCTCCAGGCCCTTCCTTTACCTCTATAGCTTGTTTGCTGGACCCATTTCTTCTAAAAATTACTTCTTCCTCTTTGATTTACAAAATAAATGTTTTCTTATAGTTTGGGTCTTGGCTCTGAATTCTTTCCTAGCCAGAACACAAGTACCTAATATTTAAAAACAATAATAATCTGAAGATATGACAAACTTAGAGGAGAAATACAACTAAAAATGAACATAAAATTAAAGTATATTAAACTCAAAGGATTGTATCATGCCTCTATTTATTTAATGCCATGTTGAAAATGGGATTTAGGGTAGTAGAGTTCTAAATGTGATAGAGAAAATGGATGTTAGAAAGCAGGCCATCGTTACTTGTGATATGCTCAGAAAGTTAGAAGCTTTGTGTTCAAAAATGTTTCCATAATAATTCAGTTAGGATAAGTATCTTTTACTGAAACTTAATTGTTCTATCTCAACTTTTCTATGCCACAGGTACCTTAGGAATAACTAATTTTACTCTTAGAGAATTTTCCATTTTCCAGTCTTGAGGCTTTAAGAATACTATAGGCATATTCTTAATTTTTAATTCTCATTAAGAACTCATTGGTTTCCTGAGGGCACAAGGTCATCACACCCACTTCCTTTCTCAGTTCTCCCCTGTGGCTCCTACTTTGAGAACTGCTTCTATATAACACCTATTTTGGTACTTTTAAATCAGAGTTTTATTGGTGGGAAGTTCCTCGGGTTCAGGAGTCTTTTGTATGTAAATCTTATCTGGCTTACCTATCAGCACCACCCAGCTCCCAAAACAGCTGGTGAGCTACGCCCTTAGTTTTACAAGCACTTTACAAGCACGGTTCTCTCATTGTAGACCTCTGCAATTCCTCTGGTAAAACCTCCTCCTAACCTGTAGTCATTAACAATTATTTAAGAGCAACCTCACTAATCCTCTCATGAATGGTGAGATCCATGTTTCATTATAGTATATTGTTTTGCTCCCGGTTGAAGCATAACTGAATCAATATCCCCAAATAACACTATAGTCAAATTGTCTACATGTGTAAAAGCAATAATCAGATCTACATGCAGTGTTCAAGTTCCATTTCCCTTGCTCTATTTAAGAAGCCAATTCTGGTGCCTCTGTAGACACTTAGCTTTATCAGTATTATTCCAAACAGACTCCAGGTAAATCTGTGCTATAACTCCTGACCTATGTAAAAGTGTCCAAGATGCAAATCCTATGAGGGACACTCGTTCGTGGAGCAAGTGGTACACTAGGTAAGAGCTCACAAAGCGGTTTCTATAACGCTGTTTACATGACTGTACTGGAAGCCTTACTGGTCCCCATGGAGAGATGACTCCATGCCATATTCAGAAAGGCTTGAGGTTTTGAAAACTCTCTTCCAGTTTGCATACTTACTCTTTCTGCTCGCTTGTACTGTTTTGTGGGCTCATGTTTTCTCCAGCAGACAGAGCTGGACTTCTTCCTACAATATGAAGAGTCCAACCCCTTCCTTCTGAACCCAGCCTATACTCAGGCATCAGCTTAGAATGCTGTGAAAGATAGAACAATCTATGTCATACCCCTCCCCACCAAACGACACAGGCTCTTAGCCAGCCCCTCCAGCAAACAGGTCTCTGCTGAAGTGCATCCTGCCTCTGCTGCCTGGCGCTCCCACAGACCAGAGCCTAAATAAAGGAGCAGTGTGGCTGCTAGCAGCTCCCCTCCCTGCCAGCCTCAGGACTCCTCCATAAGCACATGGGGTGGCAGGACAGGAGGACAGTCCCTCCCTGCATGCCAGCTCTGGGACACGAGCTCTCTTCTTGCACAATGGATCGAAATTCAACAGCAGAAAGACAAAACGACACGGTAAGACGGAGAAGGGCAGCGTTATCTTCCCAGAGATGAATGGCAGGCGAGTACCCTCTGTTTCACCTGTCACTTCCCATGAGGAGAGTCCAATGTAACATGTCACACAGGCATGCATCTTTCCTTAGAGACATTGTTTACTAGTCCCCTGACCAACAACAACAAAAGTGCTTTTTTTAGGGTATGTCCAAAGACATGCAATCTACCCTTTTAAAAATGGAAACCTGTAATTGCCTGGAAAATATCTTCTTGCTAGCCTTGCTGGGTAGTTTGGACTTGAAGTGAAACCATCACCACTCACTCCCCGTGCAAGCTGAAATTTTACAAGGCAGGCCAACGAAAAGGGACCACAAGCCAGTCTGACCCTGTCAGAAAGCAGCCCTAGGAGCAAAGCACGGTGGGGAAAAAGGCTCAGCAACCCGGAGAGACCATCTCCCCAGGACAGGCACAGGGATGTGGAGCCATTTTTCACGGGGTTCACAAGAACATGTCAGCTCCCAGCCGCCCGGGCACTGCCAGGGCACGTCTCCATTTGGCCATAAAGGGCCTGGCCGGACACCCTCGGGACATATTTTTTGGAGAGTCCGTTATAAATTCGATTCCCTCCGCTCCGGGCGCCTTCTGGATAGAGTCTTTGGCAAACTGAATGGCACAGAGCTGCATCCTACTCTAAACTCGGCGCCTTCCCCCATCGCCTTTTAACATGTGAATTAGACACTTCCGAGAGAATAGTTCGGAGGGAGGGGGGAACGGGGAGGAAAAAACCCTTCTCCCCACTCCGTCAGCCTCTGGACTGATAACCTCTGGGCAGTTTTCTCCAGAATAGAGCAGAGCCTGTACCAGGGCACAATGGCAAATTGGCATCCAAATCTGCGACCAGGGAAAGCACAGGCGGTGCTTTCTTTGTAATAAAAAAAACACACACACACACACAGGAAAATACACACGCTGGAACAAAAGGCACTATCTGCACCGGCGAGAAACAAGGGGAATGTACGCGTTTGCTCTCCATCCATCTGCACCCACTTATTTAAAAATAGTTCCGTGGTTATTTTAAGTATGACATGGTGTTCACACCAGGTCGCGAGGAAATTCGTTTCTTTAAGCTTTGTCTCCGATGGGAGGCAAACCACACGCTCTGCCGGAAGAACACCTGGGGTGTGCCTTTGTTGGTAGGGTGCCATTCCAAACTTATCACATTTGGACTCAATGATGTGGGGGGTTCGGATAAAGCCAATGCAGCCCGGGAATTATTCTGACCTTACCAAGAAACGCCAAGTCAGCACATATCTGCTGTTGTCCCTTCCGAATAACCTCATCAACCTCACCGTGCATTTGCAGCCTTCTGAGCAAAAAAAACCCGCTCACTATCCTCCCCACAGCCACCTGACAACCGAGGGCTGAAGCCCACATTCTGACTCAGGAGGAGACATCATGACGGCTCCCCCCTGGCTGTCTGAGACAAAAGCTCCGCAAGCCACGGAGAGGCATCTGCAAACGAAGTGCGAGTCGAATCAAGTTGAGGTTCGCATCTGGCGGAATACGGCGCTACCTAGCCAGGAGTTGGGGAGCAGAGGGTACAGGGGGGAAGCATAGAGAACACACAGAGAGAGACACACACAGAGAGAACCGAAGCCAGAGCCCAGTCCGGTTCAGCTTACTAACCTAGAGCCGCGTTCCGAGGAAGCCGGGCAGCCGCTGGTCCTCTCCCACCTTTCCATGGTCCTCGGTCAGTGTCCTCTCAAACCACCTGTACTTGCGCCGGTCCAACCCATTTCCACATCAGATAGTTTTCTTGTAGAAGGAGTCTCAGCGGAGCTTTGATTTTTGCAGCATGGATGTCTAGAATTTTCCTCTTGGAGCCAGACACAGCCACACACACACAAAAAAAACTGCTGCTGAGGTCTTTTGTTTTCCCCTCCTCTCAAAGATGAAGCATGCAGCACTTCTCTCTCTCTCTCTCTCTCTCTCTCTCTCTCTCTCTCTCTCTCTCTCTCTCTCTCTCTCTCTCTCGGCTCCTCTCTTCCTCTTTTGCTCCCCCTCTGCTCTCTCACACTCACTCCCCTGTTCCCTTCACCAGCCCCCTCCAGCAACCTCGCCCCATTCCCATTCAGCCGGGGTCATTTACATCTCCAAGCTCCAGACCTGTGTTCCTGTGGGCGCCTGCCTCTCACTTTAGGATTTCCTCCACAAATGGGAGGGGGCGGCTCTAGGTGAAGTCAGGTGACCCCTCCTTCAGAGCCAGTGAGAGGGATGGAGTGTGTGGATGTTAATGTACACACAGGCACATTTACATCACAAAGCGCCCAGGAAAACCTAGCTGCCAGAGATGAGGCATTTTTGCTCTTGCTTTCATCATCCCAGTTTAGCAATTAAGAGAAGCTAGCACAGTTTATAGAAATGTAATTAAACTTTTCTGTGTTAATAACAAGTCTGTACACTTTGAGAGTCATCCAACGGAACAAGTCTCTTTAAACTGGGAAGCATGACTGTTTCTTGTTTCTTTGGAGGGTCCAAGAGTCAGGCATCTTACTATTTTCACACTTTTCAAATTGGCCTTTTCTTTGACACCTCATTCAACTCATCTCAGAGTTAAGGAGCATCATAAAATATTTTTTAAAAGGTAATCTGAAAGGGAAAATACCTGACAGAAAACCAAGCGCACTGAGCATGGATGGAAATCGATAGTTTTTTTTTATTGTGGAACTAGACTCAATAATGAGTAATGTTTGGCTCTTAGGCAAATAACTCTTCCCTTCTCTGCTTCAGTGTCTCTGTCTGAGAAAAGAACATCAGTGTGCTAACTGTGCCATTTCTCTCCTCACCGATTAAGCGAGGAGTGATGCCCAGGTAGATATGCCACTCAGGGCACCAGTTACAGAGGCAACTGGAAAAACTTGCGCTAACATGGTACAGTGTTCAAGTTCAATGTATGGTCTCCATGCTACATCCTGAGAGCAAATCTGTCACCACTTCGTTCCCTGCTTCAAAGTTTTAGATATCCAATGGCGAGCCAGTCCCTACCTCTGTCATCAAATAGGAATAGTATGCATCTGCTCATCAAACACTGCAAAGCAAAGCGAGATACTCTCCAGAAACTCTTTTGAGATTTAAAAAAGATATACCAAGTACTTTATAAACCTATACTCTAAGTACTTAGAAGGAGGATCAATAAGTTCAGTGAGAACAAGACTCAGACTAAGAATCTCTCAGCCTTTGGGGCTCCAGGCATGGATTCTTCATTTGGAGAGTCTAGGGAGTATGGTGCCTCAATAAGCAGGAAAGTGGGGAAGGCAGAGCTGACTGAGCATTACCTGGCTCGGAAGGTAACAAGATACCATAACATTTTGAACTCTCACACAAACAGCCTCTCATTCTCCTGACAGATGCCAGGAGAGCACCACATTTACTGCTTGGACTGGGCTCTCCACGGGAAATACATACAGCCCACCCCATACACGCCACTCAGAGGCCAGCATGAAATAATAGCCATTTACTCCTCTTGCTTGTTTTGTATTTTAAAAGCTTTTCCTTGCATAGAAAGGATTTTATTAAGGCTTTTAACATAAATTATGGGCTAACTGGCTGCAAATGTAGCTGCACTGTGTACTACACAAACTGGCACCTAAACAATGGACAATAACAAAAAAACAAACAAATAAAAAACTTCCCTTAGAAAAATAAGTTGGGTTAGTCAAATTTAGGAAGACGTAAAAATTTGTAGAATAAAAACATGAAAGATTTCATTTTACAGTCTCTTATAACCAAATTAGCTCCTTTTCACCTGTCTTTTTTCCCCCTCTAACATTGGGTGTCTTCATTTTGCATTTACCTAATTGTTTTCCCCTCCACCTCACCTGATGGTCTTTCTTCTTTTTGGCCATGGTATCACTTTCCTTGAAGTGCAAAGTGTTGGCAATGAGAGAGAGCGGGGAAGACCTATCTTATTTTCTGTCAAATAACACTTGTACTTTATTGAACCCAAACTGTAGTGTATGAGGACTCAGAAGCTGCATTCAAACAAAGAAGCATGAACCTGGAATCTAGACTCCATTTATTTTATTACTAAAATCAAGGCATCTTGATATAAAGAGACTGCTTAAAGCTAAAAAACATAAATTAGCAAAAATGTTATAGCAACTAATGGCTTCCGTTACTCAAGGAACAAACTGAAGTACTGACAGAGAGAATAAATCTTTACTCATGCATTCATTTATTCAACCAATGGTTATTGAACACTTCCTTTATGCTAAGCACTATCTAAGCTAAGTACAAGATAAATAAAACAGAATCTGGGCTCTTTCAGAAGTTGGAAATATGTACCACTGGCATACAATAGATGTTAATGTAAATTGTTACGGAAGGTCAGAAAAAGGAGGACATTTCTCCTTAAGGGGATGCAGGATGCTTACACTAGAATTGGTGACATTTGAAATGAGCCTTTTAGAATAGGTTTTATGGGAAAGAAAGCAAAGACAAAGAGATTTCAGTCTAAGAGATATAAAAAAGCATGAACAAACAGAAACCTGGGTTCAGTTTGTTGTAACAGGACCATGGGGTGGTTGTAGGGAGGGGGTAATTTGAAAGGTAAATCAGGATAGGCTGTGAATGATCTCAAATGCTCTGCCCAAGTATTTGTGTTTTACCTGAGATGCAGTGGCAAGCTATTTAAAGTTCTTTTGTCAATTATTTGTTTTACAAAGATTTTTTTGGCAGCAGTGCAAAGGGTGATTTTAGCAGTGTTTCCAAAACTTTCCTAATAATAAGAATAACCTGCAAGTGATAGTAAATACATAGATTTCTGGGTTCCACTCCAAATCTAGAGAAGAAGGTCAGGAATCTCTATTTTTAAAAAATATCCCAGGGGGTTAGACATATAAGGAAAGTTGCACAGAGAACTAATATACCCAAGATCATTATTAAACCAAATGAAAGACTTTTGCTTTTTTAGAATAAAATAATAGATTTTTACATACAGGATGAGAACATGTATCAGGATCAAATATCATCAATGTGCTCATGTTGTACCATGAAGTATAAAATCCTATATAATAAAAGCCTAATATGCAAATTGTCCTATTTTGCTATGATGTGCACTCACCACCAAGAAGTGGCACAGAAATAAATGGCAGGCATCAGCAATGTGGTGCTGGCAGCAGCAATGTGGTGGAGCAGGTGAACAGGCAATGCAAGGCCAAAGCAGGTGTGCATGGGGGCCTGATCACCTCACAGGCAGCAACCAGAGGCAGCAAGGGATGGGGTGAGCGGGTGGCTACAGACCAAGGTGGGGTGTCAGGTAGGCTGCAGGGCTCTGGGGATGTGAGGTTGGGGGCACGAGTTAGGGCTATGAAGCTGAGGGCGCAAGCAAGGGCCAGATCTCTGCAGACTACTCCGAAGGACCCCATCCATGCATGAATTTCATGCGCTGGACCTCTAGCTACAAATAATAGCCCAGGTCATCTGACTTCTATTTTGTCTTATGTGAAACGTTTTGTCCTGTTAGGGTCTTTCTCACATCTAGGGCTTTGAAATCCCTTCCTAAAATAAACTCCCTCCCCTTCCTTTCTTCATCTCCAATTTATTCATCCTTCAAGAACTTCCTGCTAATATCATGCACATGAATCTGCCCCCTTTCTAGTAGAGTTTACACTTAAGACATATTGATATTACAAAAGCAGCCCCAGGAATAATACTACTAATATACAACTCTCACATTAGCATGCTTTTTAAATTCTCACAATAACTCTATAAAGTACTATTGCTACCATTTAACCATTGAGGAAACTGAAGTCCGGATACATTAAATAATTCATTAAAGGTCAGAAATGGATGTTTCTAGATTAGGACTCCAGTCAGTCTGTGCTACTTGCATTAGATAGCATATTTTATTTCCTAATTGTCCAGATCCCAATATTTAGTAGTTGAATATCTCAGTATGTATTTTTTTAAGATAATGGAGAAAAAGATCTACATTTTTTATTCTTTTTTTTAATTCTTTATTTTTTAATGTATTATACAAGTCTCCATTTCCCCCCATTGACCTCTTCTGGCTGCCCTCAACCAATCCCCAGCACATGCCCTCATCCCATTGGTTATGCTTATATGCATGCATAAAAATTTTGTTATGGTTTTGCTTTCTATTATTGCAAACTGACTAAAGGCTCAGTTTGAGTAGCTGGATGCTGGCTTTGGGTTTAAAGGCTTTTTCTGCCACTTTTAAGGTATATGAACAAGGGCAAGTAATGTAATTTCTCTGTGCTTCAGTTTCCTGACCCATCTCATAGTTGTATCTTGAGAATCTGTGTTAAGTATTTAAAATAATTTCTGAAAATCATGAAATATTGATTTTTTTTTTTTACTAGAGTCCCAGAGCATGAAATTTGTGCACTGGGGGTAAGGGGGTATCCCTTAGGCCAGCCTGCACCCTCTCCAATCTGGGACATCCCTCTCACAATCCAAGTCTGCTGGCTCCTAACCACTCACCTGCCTGGTTGCCCAATTGCCCCTAACCACTCTGCTTGCCGATCTGATTGCCCCCTTACCACTTTCTTGCTGGCTTGATTGACACCTAACTGCTCCCTGCTGACCGGATCACCCCAACTGCCCACCCCTGCAGGACTGGTCACCCCCAACTCCCCTCCCTGGCTGCCATCTTGTGACCATGTGGGGGTGGCCATCTTGTGACAACATGGAGTGGCCATCTTGTGATATGAGGGTGTGAGAGTCAATTTGCATATCACCTCTTTATTATATAAGATCATTATTGTTGTTGCTATTAACAAGTGAGAAGCAAATACTCTGTGTATCCGATTGGTTTTCCATATCATCAGAGATACTTAGAGGTGAAAAAGCAATTTAAGTAGCTTTCATTCTAGCTTCAGAGATACAGATGATTTACTCAGAAAAGAAAGCTGCCCCAACCACTATTCAACTAGTCATGAACTCCATATATTGCTTTATTATTAAGTCTGTAATGTATGGTATCTTGAGACCTTTGTGATAGCTGCCTGGCAGGCAGAAAGTAAAAATTACACAATTTAAAAAGAGCCAGCAGCTTGCATTTTAGCAATAAACTATCCATTTTTAAAAATCAATTATACCTGCTTTCTGTAAAAATTGCTTTTTTCTAAACATTTCCAATATTTTCATGGATGAGTTCCTTAAATTCTGAGATATGTATTCTTAAAATTTATTTTAACTATTCAATGTACTTGTCAGTTAAGTGTATGCTAAGGGTAGATAGGATATTGTGCTTATCTGAAATCAAATCAAATAAACAGATGTTATCTGATTGTGAGAAAATTCTGCATGAGAATTATAGTTATTATATATACAAACTACAGACAAAATCTTGAGAAAATTCTCTTCTTTTTTTTAATTACATAAATTGTTTCTCCTAATAGTAAAAATCCTACGTTTGATGATTTGTGGATTAAATGATTGGCATATTGCAGTTGTATATTGGGTCTGAATATAGATTACTTTTGAGTTAGGAACTATGGTTAATATTTGCAAAGCCTGGATCTCTGGCTCATAGGCTGCATTACACTTTTTATTAAAAAAGTAGACAACTCATTTGATTTTGACTGTTTATGCTAAATAAATATATTTTTAGTCACTGTC